TCATCCTACATTTTCAACCTAATGTTCTTATTTCCTTTCCATTAGCATTTCATAATGAAAAAATGCCTATATTCTCTAATTTTTAAGATAATTAAGTGAATTTAGTGCCTCTGAAGGGTAGAGGATTTATAGTGGCACCGGGGAATACACTGTTAATAATCTTCAAGACAGGGGCCACCTGGAGAACAGCGGCACTGTCTGCATCTCCACTTCTGCTATGTTGGTGACAACCCATAAGAGGGTTCAACCTCCCTTGCCAATTCAGAACTAAACTTCTCTCTTGAAACCAGAAAGACCTGGTTTTGGGGACAGGGCCTCTATCTCTTGGGAAGTGTGTTTCCAGTAGCATTTGAATTTGAACAAATTATAGCAAGCATAGATCTCTCTGAGAACTTGCATTCTCTCTATATGAGCTCTACATGCGACTGGGAGTAGAGAGTCCCCTAAGGAAAAGAAATGTGGTGTCCACCACTAAGGTTGTTACAGCCTGATAAGTGAGTCATGGGCACAAGGGAACACACAGGCACACAGAACAAAAGAGATCAGCATGGTTGCAGCTGGGCCCAAATATATTCCCTTCATTTCCCACATAGAAATGAAGGGAATATATTTCTACTAAAGTTTCAGGATTAAAGAAGAAGAAGAAAGGAAGGGACTATATACCAAAGGCTGGCTTATCTCTGACCATTGAAGGAATCATTGAATAAAGACAATGTCAATGAGTTTTGGATAAAGGTGGTAGACTAAAGGCACTCAGTTTGTTTTGTTCCCTCCCCAAACCTTACCAAAAACAGCAATGAAAGGATTTTTGCAAAAGCATGAATTCATAAAACCAAAGAAATTTAGAGAGGACTTAACAATGACAAAATATTGGAAGTTAGAAAACAGATTGGTGAATATTAACCCCAAATAATCTAGCAATGGGAAAAGCTGAGAGACAAGTGGGCATCTACCACAGACTCCTCCCCACAAATTGCTCATGAAATGGGTAATTAAATAAGTACCTTTGGGAATAGGAGTGGAGGTGGGGTTATAAATAGGAAAATGGAGAATCTAAGAAGCCACTAGATGCCCAGTTCCTTTGTTCCACCTTTTGACTCCATAAAGACTGGAGGCTTATCCTCTGGAGTGGGTAGCGTAGCATGTCTTTAGATTAGAGGGTCTTCAGTGTAGAGCTTTAGGTGGGAGAAGGCTGAACACAGAGGGGCTTGAATGAGCAGGTTTATACCAATGCTGAGACCCCTTCCCCACTGGGCACCCAGAAGATTCTCCTCTAGGGAGTCTGAGTAGCTAAAGAGCAAAGACACAAAGATGCTGATGCTTGGTAGCTTCCCAGAGGAAACAGATCAGTCAGCTCCTCCTACAGAGAAGCTCCCAGAAGCTCTCATAGGAACTTTGAGAGACCCACTTTTAAACAGAAGTGGAAAACCAAAGGTTAGCAGACAGCTAAGGCTTTGTATCTAAAGTCTCAAATACAAAAATATATATATTATTTCTTATTGTTGGAGATTTATTGAGGGTACAAAGAACCAGATTACATTGATTGCATTTGTTAGGTAAAATCCCTCTTATAATTGTGTCTCACCCCCAAAAGGTATGTCTCAAATCTATTAAAACAATTTGTCGAAAAATGGTTAATTAAGAAAGAGATCAAATCACTGATGGAGTAATGGAAAGAAAGTGTGGCCTATATATACATACAATGCAATGTTATTCAGCTTTAATCGGAAAAGACAAAAATCTTGTCACAAGCTTTGGCAGGGATGAACTTTAAGAATGCTATGCTAAGTGGAATAAGCCAATCCCACAAAAGACAAACGTGGCATGATTCTATATGTGTGAGGTAGTTAGAGTCATTAGACTCTTAGAAACAGAAAGCAGGCAGGTGGGTGCCAGGAGCTGGGAGGAGGAGGAAATGAGTTGTCCAATAGGTATGAAGTTTCAGTCCAGTAAGATGAAAATGTTCTGGAGATCTATTTTCCAAACAACATGCACACAGCTAACAATATTGTGTACTGTACACTTAAAAGTTGTTAAGAGAGTAAATTTATGTGATGGGTGGTTTTCTTTACCACAATTTCAAAAAGAGGGCGACTAAAACAAAGTGAAAGGAGTGAAGCAAACTATGCAGGACGAAGAAAATGACGAATCGTATTATCATCTGCAGCCTCAGAGAGGTAAGAAAAGATACCACGTCCATGAAACAGAATGAGGTGCTATTAAAACTCTAAAAAAGAATATCTAGACAGCAAAAGAAGGGCTCAAAGAAATGAAAACTGTGATATTAAAATCTCAAGAGTAGGAAGAAATTTCTTAGAAAATAGAGCAAAAAGGAAAAGAA